TGTATTGTAAATATTTTAGTATTTCATCATCCTAGGAATTATTTTGTCAGGATTCATTAATTATTTTCAACTATGCTAAAAAAAAACCTAAAATAATATGAAGGACGGAATAGCCTAGAAGGATGATACAATAGTGAAATAAATCATCATTATCACATTATCCTTCAGTTTTCTTACTGCATTGCCCAATGTCTTACATCATCTTTCTAGAGATATAAAAGAAGTCTGCTAAGATCATCTTTGTAGGGTTTTTTGTTTGTTTGGGTTTTCTTAGGCTTTCATTGGACACTGTTGAGAATTCAGAATTTTTTACTTTCCACCGGTAAGGACAAAGAGAACAAAATTGACAGAGGAAAATATTTCATAATCATTAGACATATGAATGCAAAGAGACAGACAGTAGCACTCTAGAAAATAAACTTTCTCAGCCTCAGCACTGTTGACATTTTGGGCCAAATAATTCTTTGTTGTAGGAGCTATCCTGTGCTTTACAGGATGTTTAGCAGCATTCCTGGCTTCTACCCTACTAGATGCCGGTCATACCAAGTTGTGACAATCAAAGATGTCTCCAGACATTACCAAACAAAGGTCCCTGGGAACTAGAGGCAGAATAACCCCAGTTGAGAACCACTGCTCCAGACTCTAATGATGATGGTGAAATTTATTATATATATGAAATATGAGCTATTTTATATTAATAATATCCTAGATTAGTTTTCTCAAACACAAGATAATGGTTAATGGACAATATATTTCTAAGGACCAAAAAAAAAAAAAAATTGGTAGTATTTCCAAGGACAAAAAGGAAATTTGGTAATCACTCTCAGTTAGTCATTGAACAGGAATGACTTCACACAATATTTTGTGACAAGAACCTGAACAGCCTCATATTTTTGCAGTATTCTTTTAATCTTTTATGACATACACCAAAATTTACTTGATACCCTTTCTTAATGGTCAAATGCTGGAGGCAAGTGTGTATACAAAGGTGACTAGAAGGAAAAAGGTGATGTAGAAATAAAAGAAATACCTTGGATTTATCATTCTGATTGATATTTATAAGTAAATACCATTTATAAATCCATTTATAAAAATGGAAATGTCTTACAATTACAAAGCAAAGAAGATGGCCATCCTCTCTTCAACAAAGTTATGAGCCATCAGAATTTTCAAAAGTACTGCATTTTGATGATGTAGTGTGCAGTTTGACAAAGACATTTATCTTCAAAACCAGGAAAATATAGGTAAAAATTTGGTTTTACTATATTTAAATTCTTACTAAAATGTCTAAAAAATTGTTTTCCACCATCACATTATTCTTCTATAAGTTATTTTATATTAAAAATATAAACAAAAATAAGTAAATAATGTAAGAGTCCATTGGACCCAGATGATAAACAGTAATGACTACTTTTTCTTGTAAATTGAGTACTCAGTATTTATTATCTCTTCCCTGGGCTATTGCAATAGCCTCCTAACTGGTCTCCTTCCCTCCACAGAACAGCCACAATAATCTTTATGAAACATAAATCAAATTATGGTTTTCAACCTTTAAATAGTTGTCAGTAACGATAAAATACAAACTTTTTACACTGACCTATAAATTTTACATGCTCTGAACTTGACATGCTATTTCTCCTCTCCCTCTTCTACTGGGCATTAGACTTACTGGCTTTCTTCCCATTCTTCATGCCCACCAAACTTATTTTTTCCTTGGGGCTCTGTATTGTTGTCTCCATCTACAATAGTCTCCTTGATCTTATCGTGGATGGTTCCTTCTTGCCATTTGAATCACAAATTAAATATTGTGTTCTGAGAGGCCATTTCCAAATATTCAATCTGTAGTAGCCTCTCAGTCACTCTCTATCACCCAGTGTACTTATAGCAACTATCCAGTATTTTTCTTATTTGTTTATTTGATTTCCCACTAAAGTGGAGGCTCTGTTAGTGCAGGGTCTTTTGCTGTTTTGTGACCCCAACAGCAAGAACCAGACAAAGCACACAGTACATATTTAATAAATACTTGTTGATATGCCAGTAATATTTCTTCATGCTGTTGAATAAATTAACAATGTGTAAATGTATAAAGACCAAGTAGCATGGATTTCTGCTTTCATTTTTCGCTGTTAGGAATATGCGTACCTCATTCTAAAGGTTTATATTTGTTTTACATAATATGGTAATATGCATTCATATTATTCATTGCACAGTTAATATATCTATATTAAAAGGGAATAAATATATTACTTGGAATTATACAAAAAAGTTATGTTTTCTTTTTAGTTTCCTAATATTCAGTATACAGGGTCGTAATGTGGATGTTTCTTTTTTCCCTTATTTTTAGTTTTTAATTTCGAAAGCCTTACAGCAATTATTATAAGGATGTGTTACCACAAAAATCATGAAAGTGTTTACTTTTTTAAAATTTTTATTATTTTTATTTTTATTTTTGATGGGGGCGGAGTCTCACTATGTTGCCCAGCCTGGCTTCAAACTCCGGGGCTCAGGCAATCCTCCTGCCTCAGCCTCCTGAGTAGCTGGGACTACAGGCATGTGCCACCATGCCTGGCTTTTATTATTTTACTGTGTCTATTCTCTTATATCAGAAACATTAATAAATTAGTTAATAGGATACTAGGAAGGGGTCTCATCAGGAAGAGAATTAAATTGTTCACTAGCATCCTGTAGTACCCAAATCTGGTCTTCTCCCTGACGAACTTAGGCAGCTACTATTCTAACTGTGGGTTGGTGGTAATATTAACAAAGTAAATTATTGGATTTGTTCCACATGTACTCTGTCTAAAATTGGTTCTTCCTTATCCCCGAAAATAAAATCTTGCAGTGAGAATGCATTATTTTACAACAGTTAAGCAATGTGAAGTGTATTGAAAATTAACTTTTTTTTGGTAGATCACTCATGAATCTGGGGGCAGAGAAATATAGCAAAGAAAACCATGTAAGATATTACTTTATTTTGCAGAGTAACAGACTAGCTAGAGACAATGAATTAAGAGAAAATGACAAAGAACAGCTCCGAGCAATTTGTACACGAGATCCTCTATCTGAAATTACTGAACAAGAGAAAGATTTTCTGTGGAGCCACAGGTAAGTGTTCAGATGGAGATTTTCTGGTTTTATTTTTTTATTACAAAAAAAAAGAACTGACTTTGGCTGATCTTGCTATATTTTTACCATACCTATTGGAGTAAATAAGGCACAGTTTACATGATTTTTAAATTATAAACATTGCCTTTTTGAAAACTGTGGATATAGATCTATATTTCTAGAAAATTATGCTACATTGGTAATTATTTTGCTCATTGAAGGCTTTTTTTTAAATTCTAAATTCCCGATACGACTTTCCTTTAGGATTTTTTAAAATAAAATTCAAGATTTTTAACACCTGATAGTGATTAGGTTGGTCTAAATATTATAATTTTTCAGGAGTGCCTTTCCATTTTTCTTTTTCTTACACTTCTTTGAAACAATAGTGTTATGCCTTATTTTCACTTATGAAGAAATTATCCTGCTCTTCATAAGTGACACTGGTATATTTAAATAAGTATAATTGTAGTGTATTTCTATAAAAAGTTCATTAAAACATAAATTTTGTCCAATGACCACAGTAGATGTGGTGACTGTATGGTTCATGTTGCATAAATGGGTGAAAAATATGAGCTATATAAGGAGTAGGTGAAAAATATGAGCTATAACATCTATTCATAATTTTCCTTAATTATCAATTAAACTTAAGTGCTTGTCCTCCATTTGGATTTTCCTTTTGTCTTATTTGTCATTATAACTGTATCTAAATAAATATGTACATATACATACAACTATAGTGTTAAACACTGATTTCTTTTGATTTTACAGAAGGCTAGTAATGTAAGTAGTTTGGAACTTCTTAAAAATTGCATAATTGAAAAATTAGACATCTAAACCTTTTGAATAACACACAAAATGTTTTTTATTTTGTTTTATCTTTCCCATGCAGACACTATTGTGTAACTATCCCTGAAATTCTACCTAAATTGCTATTGTCTGTTAAATGGAATTCTAGAGATGAAGTAGCCCAGGTAAATGTGTGTTTGGGATTACTGAATAACTGTTGCACAAACTTGGTATGTCACTCATATTGTGTTCTCTCAGAAAGTCTACATAAATATAAGAGATGAAATAGCCTGTGTTTTAAATTCATTAATAATGGTACTATAGTGGAGAAAAATACCATTCACATCATGTCCACTGATAAACAAATTAGAACCGAAAATTTTAAACAGGTTTTAAGGGTGTCTTTTATCTAAACTAATTTTAAAATCAGACATTAAGACAATGTTTTAGAGAGTTCCTTACAACTTTCTTTGCTTTTTAAATATAATTTATTATCTTTCTCATACACAGATGTACTGCTTGGTGAAAGACTGGCCTCCAATCAAACCTGAACAGGCTATGGAGCTTCTAGACTGTAATTATCCAGATCCTATGGTTCGAGGTTTTGCTGTTCGATGCTTGGAAAAGTATTTAACAGATGACAAACTTTCTCAGTACTTAATTCAGCTAGTACAGGTAAAATGATGTAAACTAGTAAATAATCTTTAATCAAAATAATGATTTATTCTAAATCTATGCAGCTTCCAAAACCTACTACATTAACTAGTTTTATGCTTTTTTTAAAAAATCAGTTTTTATTACCAGTAGTATCTACTTTCTTTCTGAAAAATTTTCTTTAAATCTAGCCATACAGAAACTGACCCTGATTTATTTGATTTTTTGTTTGTCTTTTTAATCACTTAGGTCCTAAAATATGAACAGTATTTGGATAACCTGCTTGTGAGATTTTTACTCAAGAAAGCATTGACTAATCAAAGGATTGGGCACTTTTTCTTTTGGCATTTAAAGTAAGTCATTATTTCCCCATTAAATTCTTTATATATTGTTTGCTTTTTTTAATAGTTGTATAAATATGTATTACTTTAAGTTCTTTTGTTTTTGTTTAGCTGAAAGAGTTTTTCATACTGAAAGTATTTTGTACCAATGATGAGCTTCTCCTCAACTTTTTCTCTTTGAAATTAAATAAGCAGTAAAATTCAAAACTGAATTTTATATATGAATGAGAGCTGAAATATTTTAAAGATTTTGATTCTACTTTCAGTAAAGCAAAATTTTCTAGGTCCAGATTAATATTACTGTAGGTCTCATCGTATGTGTGGATTAAAACATCCCAAAATATGGGGAAAAAAATCTTACCTTGACATTCAGAACAATAATGTCAAAATCCCATGTTTCTTACTAAAAAACAAGCTAATTAAGATAAAAAATATTTTGCAGAAGGTAATGCATCTAGTACTCAAAGTTAGAGGTCATAAACCATATACATTTTTATAAATTTAGAAAGATTTGTGTCTAATACGATTTTTTAAATGTTAAAATAAAAAATGGAAGCTAGAAGCTAGGTTGAAAATAACTTAAATTTGGAGACAGTATAGAAAAGTGTAGGCGTATGTGCCAGAAGAGTCAAATAGTACTCACTGAGATCTTTGCTCCCTCCCTATTCACTTTCTTATTTTTGTACCCAGTTTCCTTTTTTCATGTTTTTATATCTTGTCCTGAGATTAGTGGATGAAAAGTAGTTGAAATAAAACTAAAAACTTGCTTTTTAAATTTACATGTTGAGGAACTACCTGAAATTCTTGATTGTTTTGCTTCTAAATAATAGGTTGGAATCATTTTATTGTTAGTATGATTGCCATACTTATTGGGTTTAGAAAGTGAGTTTTTTAATTTTCTTAACAAAGATTATACGTATACTCATTTAAGACCATATATATACATTAATCTTGCACTATTCTTTTAGATCTGAGATGCACAATAAAACAGTTAGTCAGAGGTTTGGTCTGCTCTTGGAGTCCTATTGTCGTGCATGTGGGATGTATTTGAAGCACCTGAATAGGCAAGTTGAGGCAATGGAAAAGCTCATTAACTTAACTGACATTCTCAAACAGGAGAAGAAGGATGAAACACAAAAGGTATGTGACTCTTTAGTTTGTGTTTGAGACTCTCGTCTTGCGGTGGTACAGGATTGTGTAGAAGCCCAGTGTATATCATGGTCTTTGGCAGATTAGGATTTAGATCCAAGTTCCACTGCCTTTCAGTTGTGTAATGTTACAAACATTATTTAGGCTCTTAAAACTCATTTTATCATCTGCAAAATGGGAATACTTTCTTCAGAGGATTGTGAGAACTAAATTACATGAGATATGCAAAGCACCTATCACAGTTCCTAGAACATGGAAAGTGCCCAATAAATGTTAGTTCCCACTATACTTTCTCTTCCTTTCTCTTTTAAATAGCTTTAAGTATTTAAAATGATTCTTTCTTTATTCTATCATTTATTTTCTCTTAGCAAGGACCCTAAAAATGAGCAGGAAGAAATTAGTTTTTATATTCCTAAGTTTAAAATGGACTCCAAGTCAGGCAGTAAATATATCACACACTTTAGTCTTCTGCAATCTAGATTGGTGTAACTAAGGAAGATGAAATACAGTGTAAAGCTTTTCCATGACCTTTTCCTACTCCTTATCCTTTATTCAGTCTATCACATCTAAATTCACCACATACTAAATTCACCACATCCTACAGTAAAAAGTGACATTGTTCCTCATCTCTAGTGAAATGGGACAAAAAAGTCCCAGTTTATTAGTGAGTTCTCAAAGGACAGAGAATGTAAATTAGCAATACTGAATGAATTTTCCCAATATCTTCATTAATATTACTTGAAGGAGAAAGAAAACTTTAAAAGAAAAGTTACCGTATTGATCTAAATGTCATATAGTGTGTGACTGAGTTGTTTTTTTTTTTGGAGTTGTGGTATACAAGTTCAAATGCAGGATATTAGAAATAATTGTACTCTTTCTAATGTTGGAATTTATGGACAAGAGAGGACTAAACTGCCTTGAAAGAACAAAATTTATTATATTGTAACTGAGCTAAGAAAAAAGAAACTAGACATTAGGTACATTTGTGAATGTAAATGCTCCTCTACTTACGATAGGGTTAGAGTTACGTTCACATCATAAACACATCATAAATGGAAAATATCTTAAGTCAAAAATGGCCATCTGTAGACATGATGGGATGCAAAAACACAATATCCAAAAGAATGCTGGCAGCACAGTACACTGTAGAGTATCAGTTACATACCTTGTGATTTGCGTGGCTGCCTGGGAGCAGCAGCCCAGCATCACAAGAGAATATTGTATCACATAGTGCTAGCCCGGGACAAGATCAAAATTCAAAGTATGGTTTCTACTGAATGCGTATCACTTTCACATCATGGTAAAGTTGAAAAATCATAAATCAAAAGTAAGTCGGGGACCATCTGTATAGGCATTTCTTCTAAGCTGGAGTTTTCATATCACAAATTGGCTATGATACAATGTATTAATTAAGAACATGAAATTCATTACTCAGATCATTAAATGAGATTTTGATAGGGAACTAAAATTGCAGTCATTGAAATAAAAGCAGTTACTTTCAGTGGTTTTGTGTTTTATCATAACAATGAGTTATGATAGAGTATATGAAGCACTGTGCTAACATTAGGCATGTCAGTGATATAAAAAGAAATGCCTTTACATGAAGAAGAGCTACCTAGTCACTGATGAAAAAGAGGTACCTACTCAAAAATGACTAGATTTTCTAGGTATTAATTTATATATAACAAGAAGAAAAAAAATTTTATTATTAAAATTTCAGCATGAAAATTAATTTATTATGAATTCCTAGCTCCTAACCTCTTTCTTCCCCCTACTCAAATTTTATATTTTCAGTAGATGGGGGATTCCTAAAATAAAATAGATACTGCATGATAGCTCAGCAGTCTGGGTTCTGGTTTGAGTTGATTAAAAAGGGATATTTCTTTGTAGCTATGTGCTGGAACCTAAGTATTATGTGAAACTCCACATAACAAATGTTTTTACAAGTCCTTTTCCCAACAGTTTCTTGTAGCCTCACTAGATCTTTTTACCCAACACGAAGTGTGAAGGTGGTATTTTCTGAAAAGCCTTAAAGTAAGGTTATTAAGCTAAGATAGCATAGGCTCCTTAGTTTTTCCTCTAGAACATGGATCAGCAAATTTTTTCTTTAAGGGCCATATAGAAAACGTTTTAGACTTTGCAGGCCATGTGGTCTCTGTCTTAACTACTCAATTCCACTCTTCTAGTGTGAAAGCAGCCACTATGTAATGGATAGGCATAGCTATATTCTAATACAACTTGATTTACAAAAACTGGCAGCTAACCTGCAGGCCATACTTGACCAACCCTGCTATAGAGCCAGATGTCAGCAAGCAGAGTTCTTCCTACAGGAAGGCTTACAGTGCTGCCAGCTCTTGCCTCTCTCCCTGAGTTACGCTGCTCTGTGTTGTAGAAACCCTTCTAATTAGATTGCAGCCAGTCAAGGATCTGGATTCAAAGACTACACAGGCAATACTGAGGTTCCAGTGTGTAACAGAGATTAGTAGTTAGTTTTTATGAAATCAGTTTCTTACCATTATTATGCATTTTACCAGGTACAGATGAAGTTTTTAGTTGAGCAAATGAGGCGACCAGATTTCATGGATGCTCTACAGGGCTTTCTATCTCCTCTAAACCCTGCTCATCAACTAGGAAATCTCAGGTAAGTACTTTCTTGGGAGTTTTACTGGTATATTTAAATAGTGCCTTTTATAATACTTCAGAATATTCTGGATAAAATCTGGAGAAAAGTCAAAATGTCTGTTATAATTAGAATGTCCAATTATATAGGCTTCACTCTCTCATTCTCTTACCCTCAAAATAGGAATAGTAAAATTGTCTTAAGTTCAGAACTGCATTTATTCAGAATGAGTTTTTACTACTAAATAATAGAGTTTAAAACCTTCTATGGCCAGAATTTCTGGTATCATAGGATAATGGAATGTAATATCTATAAACCTAATGATGTATCTCTATTGAAAATTCATATGCAATTATTAAAAAAATTAAAGCTTAATTTTTTTCTTTATATTCCTTAGACATGAATTCCTAAATAAAAATTGAGGAGAAAGTTTTAAATCTTTATAATACTTCAAAAAGCTACACTGTATATGTATTTTAAAATAAATTTGAGGATAAAAAGAATGACAAAGCTAAGGTACTTAGTAAAGTTTTTAACTATTTTAAAGGCTTGAAGAGTGTCGAATTATGTCCTCTGCAAAAAGGCCACTGTGGTTGAATTGGGAGAACCCAGACATCATGTCAGAGTTACTGTTTCAGAACAATGAGATCATCTTTAAAAATGGGGATGGTAAGGAAGAGCATTAATGAGCTTATGATGCATGAATTTAGCTATCTTTTTATACACAGGATATTTATGAACCATGAAGACTATTGAAAGCCATTTAAGGAATACATACACGTGATAAAGTATATAATATTAAGCAAATGCCTTAGCCTTTGCAATATACGTATTTAATCATTGAAAAGAAAAGAAGTACTAGATTTAGAATCAGAAGTCCTGAAATCAGTCTCTAAGTATCATTTACTTAGCTGTGTGAGCATCCATTCATTCCATAAACATTCTGTGTGCTAGGCCCTGGGATTGTAGCAATAAATAAAACAGAAATCTCTGCCCTTGTGGAGCTCACAGTGTAACAAGGAAAACAGGGACATTAAATGAATAATTATAAAAATAAAATTACAACCATGGTACAAAGGAAAAATGCATTCTGGTAAGGAACCATGTAAAAGAAGGTCCTAATTTATTTGGAGAACAGGTTATGGGGGGAGAGGGGAAGGATCATGGATGGGTTTCCAACAGGAAATGACATTTCAGCAATGAATTCTGTTGATCTCAGTATTTTAATATAAACATATGTTCAAATTTAAGGATTCAGAAAAATAAATACTTGAACGATTTTAATTTAAAATTTTTGTGAAATGCTTGCTCACTTATACTGTTACACAGACATGCTTATGCAGAGACTTTAGAAGTGAATTAAAGAATAAGAATATTGCTTTCTGATAGATTCTTTTGAAGAATAAATATAGCTATTTGTTTTCCATTTGAAAACAATTTCATGGCATGATCCTCAAATTTGCATCTGTGGTATTAAGTGGTGATACATATTATTTGAATTTCAGATTTACGGCAAGATATGCTAACACTTCAAATTATTCGCATTATGGAAAATATCTGGCAAAATCAAGGTCTTGATCTTCGGTAGGTAACAATAAGGCAACCTTATTGCCATACTTACAAAGTTATAACCTCAGAAAGTTATCCTGAAAGAGTAAACTATTTATAAATATTAATTATAGAAGCATATAGAGGCATATATCTGTAAAGAAATGTACGCAGTAGTAATTAACAATAGTTCATTATGCTATGGTACTTTAATTTGTCCTCTTACTTAGCTAGAATAGTTAATGAGATTTAGCTAAGTAAGAAGAATTATCTCTAATAAGCTAGTAAAGACTCTACAACTGCGTTTGGAGTGTCACCAGTAGGAACAGGACATAGGAGACACAAAAGGCCTCTGTTTTCATTCAGAAGTTGAGTTTGAAAGAAAGTTTCATAGTATACATTTTCTAAAGTTTTATAAATCCTCTAATCTTGAATCAGTTTTAGAGCAAAATTCATGAAACCAACAGTTTTAAAGTTTTTATCAGTCTTTTGGTTCCTGCCGAACTTTCCACAATTATCAGTATTATCTCCAAGATTCTGTCATACTTCATCTTCTAGTCATTGCTGCTTCCAATAGTTTTTCTTTCTCTGACTCGTCTCTATGCAAATCCATAGTTATTTAGGCAAAAGCTACCCTCTCTGAAAGTACTTTTGTCTATAAGTGGGTATAAGAGTCAAGTCTAGCTGCAACAACTGCATAGATTAGGTAGAAATAGCGAGTAATAGGGGCTTATTTGTATGCCTTTTATAGATTAAGAGTAGCTAGTATATAAAAATTGTATCAGTGACAAAGAGTAGTAGCCCTTTATTGCAAAGAAGAAAACGGACATTTCAAGTAACCTGCTAAACACAAAATTAAGCCATCAACTTCAAATTCTTAACTCCTAATGCATGGCTTACTCTGCTGCTTTCCAAAGACAATTAATCTTTTATGAGTTAAGTTTCCTTTTTTTTGGTATAATTTCCTGTGTTGTAAGAGATCCACATGCCACTACTCCCACCTCCTCCAGCAGAATAGAGTGTAAGAAAGATTGTAGAACTATAAAGAGAAAGGCATTTAACTATATAACCCTGGTAATTACAATATTTAATTGTAAATTAGTGACTGTACAAAAAAGCATCTAAAGTTAAAAGCAAGATCATTAGAAATATTAAGAGTTTTTTAGTCTTATAATATTTTCTGAATATTTTTTAACTTAAGTAAATTTAGCTAAAAATTTTTATTTGAAGTTTAATTTTAAATAGAAAGTACTTAATTTAAGTAAAATCATAGCATTTTTATTTATACTTGGCAAAACTGTAATTCAGACAGTAGTCTAACTCTGTTTTTTATATAGTACGACTTAGAAGACAATTTGACTCTTTAACCTATGAGCATTCTCAACAGTAATAAAATGAAAACAAAATAAGATAGAATGAGCAGGAGTACAACCTTAAGAAATTTCTGTATTTACCAGGGCAGGTAGAAGAAAAGATTCTGTAAGAGAAATGGTCAAAGGAGCAGAAGTATCAGAGTAAGTGATTCACAGAACCCAAAAGAGGGGAGGGATTCACAAACAATTTGTAGTGCCAAATTCTTCAAGGGGTTTAAGAGAATAAGATCTATGGAGAAGCCCTTGCATTTGATGACTCATGGTTAGCTTTACAAACAGTTTACTCACTAGAGTGGTAGGCACAGAAGCTAGGCTGCAAGTAATCAAGTAGGAAAATGAAAATAAGTGTGGACTGTTTTAGGAACTTAAGAAATAAAGGCAAGGTAGAAAGAATGAGCAGTAGCTTATGAGAACACAGAGCAAGGAAAACCATACTGTAAGTACTTGTGTGCCAGTTTGGATGGTAGGTGCTTTTTTTCATTGTCTCTTTAAATTGTCACATCTCCACCCTTTATTTACTACATGTCCCATTTAATATTCTGTGTGATGAAACGGGAAGTACTCTAAAAACATTTGTGCAAGATCCCCACTCATGGTGGTTGTATCAACAGAAGCATTTGTGGGATTATTTGAGTTGTGAGCTGAACTAGCTGCTTTTTTCATGGAACACCATTTTTTGCTTAAAAAATAACTAATAGGCAAGCTATGGTTATTCAGACATGGATATTTGGCAGCCATTTTCTTGAAAATGAACAATATGTGCCTGTCTCTTCAAAGAAAACAACTGTGACGGTATTTATTGCCAATGAGACAATTTGACCTGTCAAGCAAAAATTAGAATTTTGAAAAAACTTGTATCTGCCACTGAACATAACAACATCCCCAGACTTAAGACTTCTCTGATGAAATTGTTGGTAATGTTAACAGTTGTGATTTTTTAGTACGGTATAATGAAAAATATCAACATTTGGAAGATGAACAAATGACCAATGCAGGATAATATAAAGTCATATATGGGGAAAAGATCCGTTCAAAGGCAAGATAGACAAATTGATTTTAATGTAACAGAGTATGCAAACATTATTGATACGGTTTCATATTCCATATTGCAACTTGAGAAACTATTGTCAAATTTTGAAACAGTGTCAAAGAAAAATATCTGCAATTATATGAAAAGACTATTACAATACTAGTTTTTCTACCTATCTGTATGAGGCCAGATAGGTATTTCTTCATATACTTCAATTAAAACATTGCATTGGAATGGATAGAGAAGCATATGAGAACCTAGCTGGGAGCTATAAAGCCAGACATTTAAAAAATGTTTAAAGTGAAAGAGTATCACTCTTCTCACTAATTTGTTTTTTGTTTTTTTTTAATATAGGGGTTTTATGTTTCATAAAAGATGTTATTTAGGCCAGGCGCGGTGGTTCATGCCTATAATCCCAGCACTTTGGGAGGCTGAGGCAGGAGGATTGCTTAAGGCCAGGAGTTCAAAACCAGCCTGAACTACATAGCAAGACTCTGTCTCTACAAAAAAATAGAAAAATTAGCTGGGCATCGTGACGCATACTTGTAGTCCCAGGCACTCAGGAGGCTGAAGCAGGAAGATGGCTTGAGCCTAGGAGTTTGAGGTTGCAGTGAACTATGATGACACTACTGCACCCTAGCCCGGGCAACAGAATGAGACCCTGTCTCAAGAAAATGATGTTATTTCTATTAACATATCATGGTTTGTTGTTTTTAAATTAATTAATAAATATTTTAAATTTTTGTTTTTTCTGTTTTAATGTCTAATATCAATAGATGTAATCCACATAAATAAAAGCTCTTTGGGGTCCTCAGTAATTTTTACAAGTATAAAAGAGTTCTGAGACCAAAAATTTGAGAACTGCTACCCTGCAGTTTTATTTAGATGTCAATTAAACATCTTAAATTCACCCAGATTTTAAAGTAATAAATGTTTATAAAATTTTAATTACCACATAATTTTCTTAATAGTGCTTTTTGGATATACAATAAAGTACTTTCTCAGTTGAAGGTTGTAATAAATGATGGCAGATAATTTTGAGGATTTTTTTTAAAGAACATGTCACACTATAAAAAAGAAAATTAAATTGGATTAAGGCAGTGAAGGTCATGCATGGCAGATTTGTAAATAAAACATTCATGTTTTAGCCTATTAAAATACTTGCTATTTTAAAATTCCAACTTTCATTGTAAATGTGTTGCTCCTTTCTCAGAATGTTACCTTACGGCTGTCTGTCAATCGGTGACTGTGTGGGACTTATTGAGGTGGTGAGAAATTCTCACACTATTATGCAGATTCAGTGCAAAGGCGGCCTCAAAGGCGCATTGCAGTTCAACAGCCACACACTACATCAGTGGCTAAAAGACAAGAATAAAGGAGAAATGTGAGTCTTATTCTTTTCTTCCTATGTTAATTTAAGTTTTTATTAGATGAGTCTTTTAGTGGTTGTGTGTTCCTCTGAGATAGACCAGAGAAAACAATTGTACTTACTTTGGGAAAAAGGGATGTTCAACCTTTGAAATATTTGAGATTATTGTGCTTAAATGACCAGAATTGCTAATAATTTGGTAAAATCCTGTACATTCAGCTTATGTATGTAAAATGTGTTACTATTGCATGTTCTTTTTTAAAAAAATTAACATTGCACATTCAAAACTTTATTTTTATCCTTAGAACTCATGACATGTAATCAAAATTTTATTTCTAATTCATTGTTAAAATGATGATTAGAAAAAGTTAATTTTAATGACATAAGTATTTTTTCACTTTTCACATGGTATTTTTTCATGAGAAGAATTATGCTTTGGTCAGAGAGCAGCTAGAAATTTCCCTAGAAACCCTTGAAAACTTCAGAATCTCAAAATTCCTTAGATCTTTGAACATTATTACTTCCTTCCATAATGTCAGTGATTGTTATTGTTTAAATAGACACTTAGACCATCTTTTCCCAATTTGGCCTGGATCACTCTCTGTTTCCACACTACTCTTAAGGTATTTGTTTCTTCTTTGTAGATATGATGCAGCCATTGACCTGTTCACACGTTCATGTGCTGGATATTGTGTAGCTACCTTCATTTTGGGGATTGGAGATCGTCACAATAGTAACATCATGGTGAAAGATGATGGACAAGTAATGGCTTTCTCTCTTTAAAATGTTTTGATGTTCTTAAACTAAATTTATTAATTTAAGATATTGTATGTCTTCATGTGTCAAACTATAACATAATGTCTTATTTTTGAAAGCTGTTTCATATAGATTTTGGACACTTTTTGGATCACAAGAAGAAAAAATTTGGCTATAAACGAGAACGGGTGCCCTTTGTTTTGACACAAGATTTCTTAATAGTGATTAGTAAAGGAGCCCAAGAATGCACAAAGACAAGAGAATTTGAGAGGTAAGCTCAAGAAATCAAAAGCACAAAATAAAGAATTCTTGCTTCTCTATTAGAAATAATTGATGTTTTTCAAGTAATTTTAAAATAATAGATGTTATATTACCACTTCAGCAAAAACTATTTGAATGTTTTTGTTATAATTTATTTATTTATTTATGTGGTGCTGTGAAGAAAAATGAAAAGGGAAATCAATTTAATTTAATTTATTGCCTGTAATCCTAGCACTTTGGGAGACCAAGGGTAGGAGGATTGCTTAAGACCTGGAGTTCAAAACCAGCCTGAACAACAGAGCAAGACACCTTCTCTAAAATAACAAGAAAAATTATCAGATATGGTGAAGTGTAGTCCTAGCTACTTGGGAGGCTGAGGCAGGAGGATGGCTTGGGCCCAGGGTTTGAGGTTGCAGTGAGCTATGATGACACCACTGCACTCCAGCCTGAACAACAGAGCAAGAACCTGTCTCAAAAAATAATAATAATAATAATTTATTGAGCTAATTAAGACCTTGGAAAAAATAATCCTTAAACTTCATAACACATTAAATGTTTTTTTTTTACTGCTTTTTAAATAGTTGGAGTCTACCTTCTCTATATTGACAAATAATGTATAATGCTTAAAACAACATTTTTTAGTCATATAATTTGAGGAAAGTCAACTGTAATTACCATGTTTATTCATAATTTTCTGTACCATGTTATGGTATATCATTATTCTGTCTTAGACCTTAAAGTACTTGTAGAAACCTTTTACAAAATTCTGCTTCATCTGTAACTTAGTCCTGACACGAGCGTAAGCTTTAAAGGCTTTAGTATGAACCAATTCTACATTTAATAAATACTTATTAAACTCCTGAAGTGTTAGACATTGTCCTAGGTGGTGGTGATAAAGCAGCAAAAAAAGTCCTTATTCCCATGGAGTTTACATTCTGGTAGGGTAGAGGGAATAGACAAGTATTGACAAGGGGAGTGGGAAAGGAATGCTATTTTTTATAGCTTTGTCTAAGAAAGCCTTTCTAATTATGTGACATTTGAGCAAAGACCTGAAGGTATTAACACCATTTGCTCCATACTGACCAAACTGTTCTTATTACTTATAGGTTTCAGGAGATGTGTTACAAGGCTTACCTAGCTATTCGGCAGCATGCCAATCTCTTCATAAATCTTTTCTCGATGATGCTTGGCTCTGGAATGCCAGAACTACAATCTTTTGATGACATTGCATACATCCGAAAGACTCTAGCCTTAGATAAAACTGAGCAAGAGGCTTTGGAATATTTTATGAAACAAATGAATGATGCACATCATGGTGGCTGGACAACAAAAATGGATTGGATCTTCCACACAATTAAGCAGCATGCATTGAACTGAAATGATAACTGAGAAACTGAAAGCTCACTATCTGGATTCTACACTGCACTGTTAATAACTGTCAACAGGCAAAGACTGATTGCATAGGAATTGCACAATCCATGAACAGCATTAGAATTCACAGCAAGAACAGAAATAAAATACTATATAATTTAAATAATGTAAACGCAAACAGGGTTTGATAGCACTTAAACTAGTTCATTTCAAAATTAAGCTTTAGAATAATGCGCAATTTCATGTTATGCCTTAAGTCCAAAAAGGTAAACTTTGAAGATTGTTTGTATCTTTTTTTAAAAAACAAAACAAAAATCCCCAAAATATACAGACATGATGGAGAAGGAAAAAGAAGGTTCTTTTCTGTCTTACAAATGTTCTGTGTTTTGAAATGTGGACACAACAAAGGCTGTTATTGCATTAGGCCTAAGTAAACTGGAGTTTTCGTTAAATTACAAAAGATTGGAAAAGAATGAAATTTTTTTATTTTTCCATTGCTGTTCAATTTATAGTTTGAAGTGGGTTTTTTGACTCCTTGTTTAATGAAGAAAAATGCTTGGGGTGGAAGGGACTCTTGAGATTTCACCAGAGACTTTTTCTTTTTAATAAATCAAATGTTTTGACAATTTGGGGTCTTATCTGCACAGTTTTGGAAGCAGTCACAAATGAGACCTGTTATAAGGTGGTATTATTGGGTTTTTTTCTGGACAGTATTGACAAGGATCTGATTCTTATTTCCCAGGGAAATTCTGGGCTCCCACAAAGTAAAAAAAAAAAATCATCATAGAAAAAGAATGAGCAGGAATAGTTCTTATTCCAGAAGTGTACAGTATTCACCTTAAGTTGATTTTTTTTCTCCTTTTGCAAATGAAATGAATACATTTTTCATGCATGTTTTCCAGAAAATAGAAGTATTAATGTTATTAAAAAGATTATTTTTTTTATTAAAGGCTATTTATATTATAGAAACTATCATTAATATATATTCTTTATTTACATGATCTGTCCCATAGTCATGCATTGTTTTGCACCCCAAATTTTTTATTGTTTGTAGCAGCATGGTCAGCTTTTCTCTTGGTCTATAGATGAGGCTCAGGCACTATCCCATTTATACCAATAACCAGTGTATAACTACTTAAAGAAAACAGATTAAACTTCGTCCTCTTTCCTTTTATTTCTTGGTTTTCATATGAATCCCCCTTCTTCCATCCTCTTCTATAGTTGAGAATGGCTCAGTCATATGAAATTAGTTACCAAAATTAACACAATTTAGACTGTCTTCCTGTTATGCTCATGAATAATACTTAATAATATGGGGGAATAGAAACCATGAACTTTTTACCTTTTTAAGCTATTTATCCATATCTCAAAAATAAAAATAGGACATTAAACCATTTTAACATCATCTCCCATTTCCAAGTAGTCAGGGCTCATTCTCCAACTTTATTAAATACCATTCAAGCATAGGACACATTCTTAAACATTTTGAAAAACATCAACCCAGATGTAGAGGCTAGTGCTAGTCATCACTCTAGAATCTGATATTTTATTCAGTAGTTGAAATGAATGATTAATGTCCTAGGAAATTAGCTTTAGCAAATGTCCAGGTGCCACACCAAAAAAAGTGCAATAGTTTACTGACAGTTTTCTAGATTAGGCATATTATTGGAAAACAACTTTATAAAGAGTGAACATTGTATGCTCTAGTAAAGCATCACTTTAAAAATACTCATTTATGAAATCTGTTACCTATAGTAGAAGTCTTGAATAGTGAACAAGGGACTCTAATACAAATACTCTTAATATCTGGCTATTTTAGAACCCTTAAAGGGGATAATTATTGGAGATTTAGGTACTTCACTAAAGCATGTATATAATATTGCCAACAAGAAAAATAAATTTGAAGATTAAGGGAACTTATTTCTGTAAACTGTCTTGGAATAGTTAAGCAGAATTTAAACTCTGTTTTAAGCAGGAAACCAGATAGATTTTTTTGCAGATATAGAAGATTTCATAACTTACTAAAACTTCACAATTAATATTTTGTGTCATTTAGATATATACAGTTGATATATACTAACATCCCAGTCTTTTCTACATCAGGGACTGATTATAGGAAAACTCAACAAAATGGTACAAATCTAAAACTTTGATGGCGGAAACTGAAGATTTAACAGAGAACTGTGTTTTACCCGAGTGCCAAAAAGCCTTGAGCCTCCTTGCTCAAAATTTATGTAAGTTTTGCATTTTTTTTCACATCAGTCCAGATAGTTGTCTCCCCTTCTCCCAGGACCTCTCCACCATTAAAACACACAGTCCACATAGCTTATTTCATCATTTACATTTATTTTCAAGCATTATTACAGCCAAATTAATTCTATTTGTAGAAGTGTAGACAACTTCTATAAAGAATGTAGATGAAGTGATCTAAGAAAGAAATGAGGGACAGGTAATGCTCAGAAAGTCAAATAACCAAAAATTGAATTAAATGCTACATAGATGACTAGGATCTGTTTCAAGTCAGCAATGACCATAGCCACTTCTAGTTATTTCAGTATCAGAGATCAGTTCCCATGGATTGGACAGTTCCTGTAACCAACCATCATTGTCAGTGAATATGCTGTAACTATTGGCTCTACAGTTTCATTGGGTCACTTGAGAAATATTTCCTTCGGTAATTATTTTGGAGAAAAGAAAAATGTCTAAAGAAAGTAAAACCTAATTTTAAACACATGGTGACAAGAAATAACTGTGAAAATCATGCTTTAACTTTTTACCATATTCTCAGCTATATGAAAACATTTATTTTGAAGATTTTTAGATTGTTGTTAATTTGAAATCTGTTAATCTTATTGTAGAATTTGGTTTTTTTAAAAAAGATGTTTCTAATTGGATTTTTAAAAGAAGAATGGAATTTGGTTGCTATTTTATGATAGAACCTAAGTTTTTTGTGGTTCTTAGTGTCCTATGTAAAACTTAGTGTCAAGGTGAATCAACTTTGAGGTTTTCCCTTCTATTCTGCTTTATATTAAAAGCCCAGTGGGAAATGGGAACCTGGTGAATATATAATGAATTGTAAAATATTTTAATGTGTAACTTTTTCAACTGTGAAACTATTGGTTTTTTGATGAAAACAGCTGCTGATAAAGTATTTTGTGTAAAGTGTAGTTCTTATTAATCAGGAAAATGACGACTTGATTAGACTGTATATACCCTCTTGGATTTTATTTTAAATGGATTGGTGATTTTCACATAGGTAAAACACAGTCCATCTGTATTCTTTTTTCCATCAAAAATTGAATGATTTGGCATTATAAAAAAAATTGTGAGCAGCCTATTTAAAGGCCCCATGGAAATTTCACAGCACATAAACTTTGGTTTCTTAATGATTTTGTAAATCTGTTTAATTCATATTTTGATCAATAGCCCATGCTTGCCAACTCTTTGAAGAAATTTAATTTCCAGCAGCATTTTAAAGCTAGCCTGTTAACTGTTCCTGAATATTTTAAGTTCCTCTTGTTTCTATGTCTGCACAAACTGCAGACCTGGGCTGGACCCACACACTCAGTCCACCTTAAAAAATTGTTTTGATGTCCAAGACATCACTAAAATATTTCAGTTTAAAGATAACATGTGGTGTTAATAGATTGTGGTGCTTCTACTATTTAAAGACAACTTTCATACTTCAGATGTTTTTGAGCAGAATGTGAAGGGAGGGGGCAGAAGAGGGAGGAGTTGTTTGAATGAATTACATTCTTTATATCCATGCAGCTCAGATGGGGCATGTCTAAGAGAAGGCTGAAAGTTGTGAGAGGATATTGTGTATACTGCGAGAGAATTAACTCTTCATCAAGGATAGGATTGTGAAAGCTGAACTGTAAAATTCAGCACTGACAGCATCATCAGATAATCATTCTTGGTGACAGAATAATACAGCTGGGCTGTTTTTGAAAATACAAACAGAAAACCATTTTTAATTATCACATTAAAAATTGTAAATATCTCTTACGCGCCATGGCCTGGGAAGCTGTTTTTGTTTTCTTCTTTAAAACTTTATTTTCACTATCTGAAAAGATTATGGGGTTTAGCTCAAGATAACTATGGTCCTGATAAAATTGGATGAGTCTACCTCAGAAGGTTAATAGGGAAAAATGTAAATGTCATAGTTCAATACTTCTGGCTCTGATATTACAGAAATTTTGCAGATCACTGTATTTTAGATTTATAAAGTCAGAGTTGGCATGCCTCGTTTTTAATGGTATAGAAGGCATTAAGAAAAAAATTGGCTAAAATTTAATCATTGTTCCAGCCATTTGGAAAATGCTCTAATGTGAGGAAGTTCATGGTACTAAGCTCGTGAATTTGGCATCCGAAATTCATTTTTTCTCTTTTCTTTATTATTAGTGCATTTGGTGTGTGTATACTTGCACACATTTCTATTTGTATACACACTGCTTGCTAGCCCTGGTCAAGAGGCATCTTTTATAAAAGATAATAAACAAATATCAAGGTTCTAAAATTCAGAAGAGTTTAGAATTTATTAGGAGTCTCCCAAGTTGGGATGTTAATTTTTAAATAAACATTTCATTCAAGTATTACACTTGATTAAGGTTTTACACTTCCTTTTTATTAGTGGTGTGCATTCCTTTTGCTTGAGTTTAGGTATGTTAATATTTTATCCCTGCTAGTGACAGGTGTGAACCATAAGGAAATTTCTGGCTTAATTTTTACACAACTACATGTAAGAGTTTTAGTGGAGAAAAAAAAGTAAAAATTAGTCCTCTGTACATATAGTGTAGTTAGGTAAATGGTTTTCACTACCAACAGTATACTCCATTCCTCATGTAGGTAAGTACAGAAAAGGTTTTTAAATGCATTTTGCAAGCCATTTAAGTCTATGAATCTATCTGCAACCTTATATAATCTGTCACTACAATTATTTTGTGGTTATGCTAAGAATCATGTATATTTTTAGGTATTCTTATTTTTGTTAATTTTTCTAGATTAGCAAGGAAGCAGAAAACCTTCATTGTTTTATATTAAAATATAATGACTAAACTTAATTCTAGTATGAATTTCTAAATGTGGTCATTATCTATTGATTCCATAACAAAAAGCCCCTTATTAGATTCAATTTATGTTCCTAAGAGTGATTGGAGGACTTGGTCTTCATCTGATTTCTACAAATGTTTTCAGCTATGGAACCCAAGTTTCAAATGAAGTTAAATGGTTTCAGTGTGATTCAGTCCTCAGACTTAATTGGGTTGAATAAAATCTCAAAAATATATCCTTTTGGAGCATAACATAACACTTTAATATCTTGGGGAATGTTACACTACCAACAGAAGACTACTTACTAACATATCAAATGTTTACTTTGGAAGCTTCAACAAGGAGTTCGAACCACCCTTTTTTGGCCCTATAATTGTAGCAATTCTATTTCTCTATATTTTGTCATTCAATGAATTGAAGTCCTGTGTTATACTGCATTAGTTAGAAGAAAAATGTTTTTAATGTACTTTTAATGATGGCCCAAAAAGTATGTGACACAGCAAGATGCATGTGTTATTATATTAAGAATATAGAATAATACAGTATCACTAAATTTAAGACCTCTTCCCAGTCTTGCTTTTCCTAGCAAGAAGTTTGGCCTGTGACTGCACTTACTGTTTGTGCTCATCAGAAACTGTCAATGTCTGCTTTTCTTTAACTTTGCAGTCTGTAACATCACGCTGTTTATTAAAATATATATATATTACTTTGACTTGTGTCTAAACAATCCTTAGTGTA